CTGACATCTTAAAGACGTCTATCAGATGTTTTTACACAGCAGATGTTTTCCAGATGAAGCGATCTTTAACAGACATTTTGCAGACGTATCTGCTATCTGGGTAAAGACGATTAAAACATTACATTCCAGATTTATTTTCAACTCTCTATTTCAGATTGTTTGTAAAATGCTGTAATTTTAATCAGTCTTGGTTGCTCAATGTTTTTTAAAATGCTAAATTTTTACAAGGCTATATTGACCAAATAAATAAATACGTGGATATGAAATATTGATTTGACTTTATTTTATATTTTTACCTGTATATTCCACTTATAAGAACAGTCCATTCCAAAGTACAAAACAATCGGCTTAGCAAAAAGAAAGACAGGGCTACAATAACATCCACAAGCAATACTCAATATCAATACTGAAGTAATAGATAGCACAGGTAAGTCTGTAAGAGATCTGTTAAAGATCGCTTCATCTGGAAAGCATCTGCTGTGAACAAACATCTGATAGACGTCTTTAAGATGTCAGTTTTACATCATAAACATCTTAAAGACATCTTATAAACATCTATTTGATACATCATAACTTAAAGACATCTTATAAACATCTATTTGACATCTGATAGGAAACGTCCTGTAGATGTATTGCAGATGAGCAAACACTCTAAAAAATATGTCTTGCAGATGTTAATGCAGACACCAAATAGACGTCTCCGTGATGTACGTGTGCTGTCAGGGTGAGACACAAAATGGCGCCAGATGCGTTTGTATGAAATTGGATCAAGAGAGCACAAGTTCTCTGTGATATACAGCGTTGCTATGGATGACGGCGAATATAAGAAAACACTTGAATGCAACTATTGACCAATCAGAATCGAGTGTTCAACAAAGCGGCGTAATAAACACTAATATCAGCGCTGCTGTACCTGAACATGTGTGACAGAGTTGAGTGATGTCCAGATGTTGAGTCTGGTTGCTGATGGGATTGTTGAGCACACAGCTGTAGCTGTTTTTATCCTGATATTCCACCTCCAGAGGTAGAGAGAGACTGATGCTGAGATCAGACGCACTGATGCTGGACAATAAACTGTTTCCTTTGTACCAGGAGAGAGTCACGTGACCCACATTCAACACTGAACACAACAGTGAACATGATGATGATGATGAAGATGAACAGTCTCTGCTGATGACAGGATAAGGCAGACGAGCTGGAAACATGAGAGAATAAATGAACAGCAAGTAACTAGGAGGCTGTTTCATTTGAAGGTTTTGAGTGAAATATTAGTATACATCTTAATTATTTTCTCAAAATTTATAATGGATTCACATGTACCAGGTTCATACTGTCAAACAGAAAAATGTCATAGACTAATTACCAAATTAAAGACCATTTTAAAAAACATGAAAAATAAAGTTCATCAATGAATGTTGTTAAATGGTGTTATCTTAAATGACTAATTGATTTGTTTTATAATTATTAATTATTTGTATAAAATTATTTGAAGCACAAATGACACTGTAATTGTGACTCACCATAGACAGTAACATTGAATCTGTGTGTCGTCAGTGTCATGCCATCAATTACTTGATAAAGTCCAGAGTGTGTGGTTCTGGTGTTTGTGATGGTCAGAGATCCAGTCTGATTATCCAGCTTCACTCTGTCTCTGAATCTCCCGTCAGGACCATCATATGTCGAAAAGATTCCAGCCTGTTTATTGATTTGAGCTATAGGAGCCTCTGGACGTCCAAATGTCCACATTATCAGATCATGTGTCTGTATTTCAGTGACACCAGATTCTAGAGAGACTGAATCTCCCTCCATCACTGACACTGACTTCACTGCGTCTGGACCAGCAAACACACCTGAAGAACAAACAGAAACACAGGGTTTGTCACAAAAGTAAACGAAAATTATAATATCCAAACAAAACTGAGTCTTTGTGGTGATCTTGAATAAAACTCATTTACTGATGCAGGAACTGAAGTCATCATCACACACAGAAAACACTTTTACTGCAGATGAGAATCACGTCGCAGCTGGGCCGTTCACAAAGAACGAGTTTTTCCATTACAATGCGCTACTTTTCCATAGTTTTTCTATTTAAACGCGCTAGATGGACGTGTATGAATGTCAACTTTTACTGTGTCAACTTTTACACGCATCGCCGCTCATTAATGCCAGTTCCAAAACAGTGGACCAATCAGAAGACCCCGGAGGCGGGGCATGCATTGCAAGCTTTTGTTTACAGTAGGAAGTTGGCATGGCAACTGTAATGATAATGATACTTTTAAAGGCCAGTATCGTCGATGTCGATATCGATACCGATACCGATACAATACTACTAAACTGAACTTTTAAATGATGAAATATATGAGGGGGCAGTCGTGGCCCCATACATGGCCACACATCACATCCTTTCCTCTCCTTTCCTTTTTTAAATTATTAAATTACTAAGAGTAAAATGGGTAATGATACCCACTTAACTTTATATTTGAAATGCATTACATTCAATATGCTTTAATTGCAACTTATTAGGTTATATTTTTGTTACACATTTTACACATGGTTAAAATATGTTCAATAAAGTATTGTGTTTTGTTGTTATGGGCGCGTCTACAGATTTCAGATGCAGATGTTTCTTGCATCTCACGACTGTCGTGTATGTAATAATCGCTGTGTGCATGTGTGTAAAACAACAAACTGACCATTTATATACAGTATAATCATTTGTAATTGTATATACATTGTTGTGATTAATTGTGGCTGGAACAATAATGTAGCTGTAAAAATAGTTGCCTGCTGAAATGGAAATGTATATACATCTTCATAATGACTAGATAGACACGGTGAGTTTGTCTTTACTATACACATTAGATGTGATCCACCTCATAGTAACAATCCTGTCAGATAGTCCATCCTTTGAGTGAGAGTGTAACGTTACAGGTCGGCCGATCTGGTTTCGTGGTTAAAGTTAACCTTTTCGACATGTTTCCGTGTTGTTGTTGCTCAGCAATGGCATGGACGCGATGCAATCCTGTCAGATCGTCCATCCTTTGAGTGAGAGTGTAACGTTACAGGTCGGCCGATCTGGTTTCGTGGTTAAAGTTAACCTTTTCGACATGTTTCCACGATGTTGTCTGGGGTTTGGCTAAAGAAGAGTGGGACGGTGGGCGGTGCTCGGGGTGGTGACTGAAGGCGGTGACTGGGTAGTTCTGACGTCAACTTTTTACGGAAGTCACAACGGTTCGTGAAAAATCACAGCTACTTTAAGCAGGCTGTGTGCATTTTACTGTGGACTGACTGTTTTGAAACGTATATGGTAGTTAAATAGCTCCTAGACCTCAGTTATCGTGAAAAAAGCCAGGAAATTTCAGTTTTGACAATATGGGACCTTTAAGAGACTGCTAGTGAAAGGCTGTTGCACGCATAAAATGCAACCTTTTTATTCTGACAGTGTATGATTTATACTAATAGAATAGAACATGATCAGAATAGAACACGATCAATATTAACTTTTAACAGTGTTGGGGAGTAGCTAGCTACAAGTAGCGACGCTACTAGCTTAACTACATTTTTCAGTAGCTTTACAGTAGCGACACTACTTTTAAAACAGTGTAGCTTTTCCTGTAGCTAACTACTTTTTCCAGCAAGTAGCGATGTAGCGCGACCAAACGCTACATTCCGTTTTGCGTTCTGACAAGTCACAAGCCTGTAATGCATTGATGCAGCACAGCGTCTTCTTCTGACTAGATCACAAA